CTATTCTTTTTTGGTCGTTTGATTTGATTAATTTGGAGGACTAGGTGTTACATAATTGTGTCAATTGTTAAATGTTGATCGTAAATTGGTTTGTGTACTCCCATTGGAATTTGATCACTTGGTTTGAGTACGTACTCCACTGGATCTTACCATATAGGTTTTGATTAAAAGAAAATTGGCGTAGCAAAATCCACACGCAAACTTTTCTGAAATTGAAAGGTCATAAGACCAAAATATATATAAGATTGAGTAACATAAGGAAAGAGAGAAACTGACCTGCATCATAGTATTGATGAAATAAGCAAAAATTATCCGAACATACTTGGAAAACGTTATCTACAAGACTGTGACAAGATGGGAAGACTTAGCCCTCTCACCGGCTCTAATGGGCAAATTAGGACAAACTGTCGAAGGGTCAACTAGACATTATTTTTCTTTAAGAATTATAGCTTAGTTGGTTTGAAAATAATTATACCACCTTTCGCGTAAGATTATAATTTGCCTTGATTTTATTAGATTCGGATATAAGTTTGCAGCATGAGCATGTTTGTTTGATAGTAATTAATATAGTGTTCGTATGAGTGCTGTGGACTTAATAAATTGAAGTAAATTTTACAATTGGATTGGATTGGAATATTGCATAAACTGTCATCCAATGCCTTTCTCCATCCCCGACCTTCTCACCTCTCTCTCTCAAACACTCCCTCCCTATCTCTCCCTTCCCCTACTATAGTAAAAAAAGTGGCAACAATCACCATTATTTGGTGACATTTGTGGTTGTGACAAAAGGCATTAGTCACCTTTTGGGTGACTAAAAAGGCTTTTAGTCACCTTTTTTGCTTTTTTTTAGTGACTCAAGCCTTTAGTAACCCCTACAACAGTCACCAAATGTCACCAAATAATGGTAACTGTTGCCACTATTTTTTGTAGTGCCTGCACTCGCTGAAGCTTGACCCACCCTACTTCGACCACGAGATCGGCTCTGCAAGAATGTTTTCGCGCATGACTACGCTTGAGTGGCGTAGAGGATTGTGTGAGCTTGTCAAGAGTATTTTCACTAAGGAACTTTGACGAGTGCTCAATGAGGTTGCCTATTGTTGTGAATTTATTGCAAGCGCACAATTCGCACAAGTAATATAGTAATAAGTGAAGTGTCGTTTCCACGAAGAGTGATTTAATTTATTAAGTACCGATTGTGATTAACCCAAGATTTTATTTGAACAATTGAATGATGAGATTCGATTGATTAATTAACTAAAACAATGAATAAAAGTAAGCGTAGAAAAATAAAGTAGTAAGATTCAAGTTATGAGAGCACTAGAGCTTCCGATTTTACCATAGCCAATTCTACCCAATTCCCTTAGCATTGTTAATCCTAATTATTCTCCACGTTGACAGTCGATTTTCCCTACTTTATTCTATACTCCATCCCTGGTTATACAAAAAGTATTCTTATTACCAACCCACTGTATCCCTAGTGATGGAATTAAGATAATAAGAACCCACTAAACTCCTTGGAAAACCTGCAAAACAACCACATAAGTCATGACAAACATCCCTGTCTAATTATGTAACTCAAGGCATCTATTACAAGAAGCAACCCCAAATTGGATATCCCTATCGTCAATTTAGCATCAAAACAATTAAATGTTGGCCAAACATTCAAAGCATTAAGCATGGTAATAGATACTCAACAAGGAAAAATACTTGGAATTAACATTGACTAAAGCAATTGAGTATTCATGGCTAGGCTACATATGTAGCCCTAGCAAAAAGAAATTAGTTCATGACAACTTTAATAAAAACCATGATAGCACGCAAATGGGCTATTTTTAGTATGGTAGTGTCCAAATTGAAGCGAAAGGCAACCTCGTCGGTGAGATACTTCTCCATCGTTGCACTTTCATTTATACTCATAAGGATATAGTCTGAATGCAGTAAGTCGTTACTCATAGCCAAGTCCTTGTAGTACGTCTCATCAAACTTCGCAAGCTTGGCCGCATCCAGGAAGTATCTCCTACTGAGTGGCAGCTCCTAACTCAGTCCACAAGGTTGTTTTAGCAATTCAAAAACAAAAACGATAACTTCTTACCCTCTAAATCAACTATTTCAATATAGGCCCGACCCGTGAGCCCGAAATGTTTTTGCCTTTGGGTAGGGCCTGGGCTTACTATATTTAACATAAGGTTGGCTCAACCAGGCTCATTCACTCTTTAGGGCTAAAAAAAGCTCGTCACTAGGTAGAGCTTAGGCTAACATTTCTTTAGGCTGGATTGGCCCGAGTCTACACATTTTACAGGTTCAGCAATAGACCAAATAAGCAGTCTTCATTAATCCTTAAAACAAGTCAATATACTTCATAAATTTTTTTTTTAAAAAAAAACAAAAATCTAGGATACTTAGAAACCAAATATTTTAATAATACTACTATAAGTTATTTGAGGTGCTGTAAGCTAATGACAAGTAACCAATTCACTCATTGACGGAGCTGCACCGACGACGGACCTGCCCTTGGGAGGCAATGATAGTGCGCAAATGGGCTATTTTCAGCACGGTCATGTCCAAATTGAAGCGAAAGGCAGCCTCGTCGATGAGATACTTCTCCATTGTTGCATTTTCATTAATGCTCACAAGGATATGATATGAATGCAGTAAGTCGTTACTCATAGCCAAGTCCTTGTAGTATGTCTCGTCAAACTTCGCAAGCGTGGCCGCATCTAGGGAGTATCTCCTACTGAGTGGCAACTCCTAACTCAGTCCACAAGGTTGTTTTAGCAATTCAAAAACAAAAACGATAACTTTTTACCCTATAAATCAATTATTTCCATATAGGCCCGACCTATGAGCCCGAAACGTTTTAGCCCTTGGGCAGGGCCTGGGCTTAGTATATTTAACATAAGGCTGGCCCGACCATGCATGTTCACTCTTTAGGCCTGAAAAAGCTCGTCACTAGGTATGGCTTGGGCTCACACCTTTTTGGGCCGGATTGACCCAAGTCTACACATTTTACAGGTTTAGCAATAGACCAAATAAGCAGTCTTCATTAATCCTTAAAACTAGTCAAGATACTTCATAAAAAAAACAAAAATAATCTAGGATACTTAGATACACCGAGAAACTAAATATATATATATATTTTTTTTTGTCAAGACTGAAACTTCATTCCAAGGCCGAAAAAACGGCAGAAGAGCTTACAAACAAGGAAAGAAAGCAAAACTGAAAGCCTTTCAACTGAATCCATACAACCCAGCAAAGAAAAGCTTTCAATCCAAAACAAAAAGAAGCTTAAGGAGGACATGGGAGTCCATCCGAGACCAGAACTTGCACCAGAGACAATGGTGGTCATGAGACCCAGCTTTCCAGCTTCATAGCTCTAACTCCAATCATGGCTGCCTCATGAGCCGCCCGATTTAAATCTCTATGCACCCAGCTCCATCGAACCTCATGCATAGACCCACATAATCTGTGAATCTCCTCAAGAAGGGGCATAATGGACCACACTTTGTTTCTAAAGTCACCATTTATCCCATTGATGAGCAATTTTGAGTCTGTTTCCACAATGACATCTCTAAAGCCAAGGTTAGCAGACAAAGCAAGCCCTTTAATTGTTGAATGAGCTTCCGCAGCTAGTGCTGAATCACAGCAAATAGGACCAGCTAAACCCCCAACAAATTGACCACCAGTATTTCTAATAACAACCCCAACGCCACCTTTCAGAGTGTCACCAATCCATCCTCCATCCACATTTATTTTCACAAAATCACCTGAAGGTGCATTCCAGGAAGCGGGATGGACATTCAAAATGTTGTTCACGACCACTTCATCACTAGGAACCCTTCGGATTTCAGTGAACTCCATCTGAGCTCTTAGCGCATTCTCAATAACCTTGGCCGGATCAATGGTGCTCCCTTCAATGACAGCCTTGCACCTAGTTTTCCAAATCTCCCAAAGGAAAAAACTTAAAAGAGTAAGCATATCCAATTTTTCTTGCTTAGACCCCGATCGCATACTCAAAACTTCATTAAACCACACATCAAAAGTTCTCAACCGTTGCTGATCAATTCGCAATGACAAAGGAGACCCAAACCATACTGCTTGAGTCCAAGGGCAGAGAAAAAGCAAATGTTCGATCGTCTCTTCACACTGATCACACAAAGAGCAGATAGGAGAGCCACAAATTTTTTTTCGAAATAAATTCATTCTAGTTGGAACCACATTCGGGACAATTCTCCACATGAACAATTGGATTTTTTACTAAATTATATGGAATTGGGGTAGGAGTGGTTCTAATTACTAAAATGTCCTCGTTGTTGGGTTAAAGTAGATGACAAATTTGAAATTTTAAAATTTGTGTGAGGATATAATGGGTACAAATATGAATTCCTAATAGGTTAGTTCTCCAGAAATTAAAATACCACCTCCCACCCAAGAGTGAATTCATCCGAAATCAAGAATTCAATTCCTAATTTTGTGTGAACCCCACTTACTTTTTAATTTCTTGATGTGAAGTAAACATGGAAATGCTCCATAATTGGAATTCAATTCTTGATTTGAATTCCAATTCCTGATTAGTAAACACACGATTAGAGCTTCTCGTTGCACCCAAATTTGAATTCTCCTTCGTCTAAACATGAGTTGGATCATGTATGAATCTATTACATAATAATATATGCCACATAAGAGGTGATTTGGTCCTTCTCCGCACATTACGTCCAAAAATTCGGTATCTATTGCTTAATAATATATGCCACATAAGAGGTGAGTTCTTCCAATAAACTAGTATATATATATGAGAGTAAAAATTTGAATGAGATAAGAAGTTTACCCTGATGAGAAGAATTATGGATTAGCTTCCAAGTTATTTCTAATAAATCTGTTTTTATTTAAGAGAGATTTTTTTAGCTTAATTCTTGACTTAAATATAAGTGAGTAACAAATTTAAAATCCAACGGTCCTGATATGTTTTGCTACTTTCCAAAGTCCTTAACCTTTCCCCTATAACATGACGGCATCCAAGATTCCTAGCCCAACTTTCGAAGTAGGACCCTCTTTACTCCTTCCTTCGCACACACAAACCCAATACCCAGTTAGAAACCCTAATTTCGCCAAACCCTGCTGTATCGTCTCTTCAATGGCACCCAAGCGCCCATCTCCTCTGGATGAGCCTCCGGCTGCTTCTTCTTCGGAAGAAGAGGTAGCCTCGTCCGAAGAAGAAGTAGACGGAGAAGAAGAGGAAGAATCCGGATCCGGGTCCGAATCCGAGTCCGAGGAACCCGAGCCTCCAAAGGCAGCACCCACTCCTGTTGCTGAGAAGAAACCACCACCGAAGAAACCGGACTCGGCTACTGTCAATTCAAAGCCGCAGTCTTCATCCTCTGGCTCAGAGTCCGAGTCCGAATCCGATTCGGAATTGGATAAGGATATGGTGGTAAAGCCGATAGCTTCGAAGCCAATGGAAGAGACGCCCAAGACCAAGAAGCCCAGATCGAAGGCCTCGGCTACTACTACGCCTGCAGCAAGAGCCGGGTCGAAGCGGCCAAGCGAGAGCGACCCCAAGGATTCCAAGAGGCCCAAGAAGAAGATCCCAGACCCGGATCAGGAGCCAGACCATGCCGGAGAGGAAACGAAGAAGGCAGGTGGAGACGACTCGAAGAAGCTGTTCCAGAGGATTTGGAGCGATGATGATGAGATAGCGATCCTGAAAGGCATGATTGCTAAATATTTTAACAATACTATTATAAGTTATTTGAGGTTCTGTAGTGGTATGCTAATGACAATTAATCAATTCACTCATTGACGGGGCTGAACCGATGATGGACCTGGCCCTAGGAGCGAGTGAGAGGGCGCAAATGGCTATTTTCAGCATGGTCGCGGTAAAATCGAGGCCGAAGGCACCCTCGCCAGTGAGATACTTCTCCATCGCTGCACTTCCATTTATGCTCACTAGGATAATATATATACAGTAAGTCGTTGCGCATAGCCAAGTCCTTGTAGTATGTTGCGTCAAACTTCGTAGGCGTGGTTGCATCCAGGGAGGACAAGTTGTCATATTCACCTCTCAACGGACAAGTGGTCCTCCTTGAGGTTGCAAATTCGGTATTGATTTCGGTCTCGTTGTATAACCTTCCATTGAAAATGTTGCAGTGAGTGTGGCCAATTGTATGTGATCCTGCATTAGCGAGCCATTTAGGAAACATAATTAGTATTGATCATTCAATTTTATTAATATCTAAAATTAGAGTTATCAAATTAAAATTATTAGCCTACACAATAGAGCAACAATAACCTGCATAGTAAAGCCTTTTACTTTGAACGAGTTGGCTAGCTAGCTCAAGGTTGCGAAAGGGCTAGGGATGTCATCAATTCTGTTAAAGTGTGTCGTAATGGAGTCTCTCCTACTGAGTGGCAGTTTCCAACTTAGTCCACAAGGTTGTTTTAGCAATTGAAAAACAAAAACAATGATTTGTAACCTTCTAAATCAACTATTTCCATACAGGCCCGAAACTTTTAGCCCTTTGGTAGGGCCTGGGCTTAGTATATTCAACATAAGGCTGGCCCAACTAGGCTCAGTCACTCTTTAGGTCTGAAAAAGCTCGTCACTGGGTAGAACTTGGGCTCACACTTCTTTGGGCTAGATTCGCCCAAGTCTACACATTTGACAGGTTTAGCAATAGACCAAATAAGTAGCCACCCAATATATGTTGCCCACGTGTTAGGCTTGAAAATTCACCACACATGTGGGGTGCGTGTGAATGCGAAAGTGAAAATTTCATAATTGACAAACCTAGCAAAAACTTATGAGAAGTTGGGCTACTCTTCCCATTGCCAATTGGTTTTGGGGTGGAACCTCAACTTTCTAAATATACAAGTTGAGTAATCATCTATTAACCTGATCTATAGAAGTGATTTTTGGCCAATTTATAATCAATCCCAAATGAGTTGCTAGAATAGTAAAAATATAATTAACTAATTCCTAGTTTCAAAAGATTTCGACTTTTAAGAAAAAATAAAGAAAAACCAATTGGAGAGCGTCAGAGGGCTTTTACACAAATCACCCAAATGGGCAACAACTAAAACATAACTGTGGCCCAGCCCAAATACAATTAGAGAGATCACTAAAAATAGGGCCCACGTAACAAAACAAAACAGGCAAATAAAGGCCTGTAGAATAATAATATAGATGAACGCTACCGCTTTATATTTCACATCTTGTGAGTTTATAATTCTATTTACATCTCTCAAGTTGATGCAAATGCAAAGTTGTCCAAAAAAAAAAAAAAGTGGTCCTCATGAGGTCCTCTTATGAACACACACTTGGGTAATAGAAGGAACTAATTGGGAAGAATATATTTGGGGTGGGCACAGTCTAGATTGGATCGGTTTTATCTTAAAATTATGGCCGAACCAATTACAATATGACGGTTTGATTTAGTTCGGTTTGGATAAAAGTTATAAGGGAAATTGAACCAAACCAAACCAATTTAAGACGGTTTGGTTCAGTTTGGTTCGGCCGGTTTGGGCCTAAGCCCAATTCTCTTTCTTTTTGTATTTTTTCAACATTGTTAGCCCAATTATAACCAACAAATTCACAACTTGCTTCTTACATAAATAATTTTCTAGAGTACGAAACCATCCTAAAGCTCAAAATGTCATCAAACTTCATATTTCACTAACTAATATAGCTCAATTCAAATATTCATATATGGTTATTAACTAATTAGAGTATTACACATATAAAATAAAATATAAATAAATAAATATACACATAAATGGTCCGGTTTGGTTTAAGCCGGTTTACAAAAGCTCAAAACCAAACTAAACCAAATCATATACGGTTCGGTTTGATTTTTAAACCATTTGACTTTTTATTAGTCAAAACCAAATCAAACCAGTAATTATGGTTTGGTTCGACCGGTTTCATCAATTTGGCCGGATTGATGCCCACCCCTAGAATATATATATATATATATATATATATATATAAATAAATAAAGGTCATGTATGTGTGTGCAGAATATACATTTCATATGTCACGTATAAGTTGAATTTAAAAAAAGATTCTAATGCTTAGTGGTACGTAGCTGTAGGTTTCTCCCTTTCTCTTCTGGTCACAATCGTCTAGCATTTGAATATGCAACAAATTAATGTGCATTGAAGCTTCGTAACACTGGTTCATGTACACATGTGTATATAGCTAGGGAGATTCCCCTCTAGCCATATTTAACACTAAGCTACCCACACATGCTATTGAAAGTTACTGCAAGTAGAGGGATCGCTTGTGGAATTGTTGTTTGTCGTAAATTGGCTCGTTTGTGGATTGTTTATTGAAATGAAGGTATTGCTTGTAAAAGTAACCACCTTTAAATTGCGAGTAATGGGAAAAAGATCATATTATTACATAGCTACATTAATGAATTATATTATGTGATAGGTGAGGTTGACTTGTTACGTCTATTATTATGATTAATTGAAGTTGACACATTACATGTCACATAATTCCGTTCATTAATCTAAGAGATGACCCCTTAGCATTCTCATTATCATTTCCGCGTATAACCAATACAACTTTATTATAGGGTAAGTCTACTTCGTGAGGGTTTTGAATCAGAGTGATTTAACAATTGAATATGGTATCACTTGCTTATAATGGTTGCGGCTCCTTATTATACCAATTGTAATAAATAAAAATTGGTATATAGTGGCAATTGTTTGTAATTTATAAGTAATCTTGGTGCATTATTGTAATATACAAATTGAGTACTCAACTATTAACCTAACCAACCGGGTGTTAGTTGAATTGGCTTAGGCATTTGGTATACTCCCAAGTGGTCTTGGATTGAAATCCTCATGGTACTCGTGTGTATGAATTTTCCGTTTCCCTTTCCTGCCTTTGGAAATTTAAATTATATATATATAAAAATTTAAAAAAACTATTAACCTATCTTGAGTAGTGGAAATATAATTAAGTAATTCCTAGTTTCAAAAGATCTTATTGACCATGAGAAAAACCCAATTGGAGAGCGTCAGATGGCTTTTCAACAAATGGATCATCCATTAATTTGAGACTAAAATAATAGATATCAATTTATGATCATATCATACCCTAACCCTAGAATTGAAGGTTGCCAAAAATTCCATAACCAAAAACTCAGTGATGACTTTGGGCAAGTGGCGTACGTCGGGATGTACTTGGAGCCATGTGTGTCTATAATATACCATGCAATGAATGGCCCGCGCGCACATGGAGAGCAAGCAGCAGTGGACTCACTTCACCACCAGAGGCTGCCGACAAAATAGATAAACAAATAACTTTTGCATATGTCTGGTTTGGTTGGTGGTTTTTCAATTAATCCTTTCCATTTCGCTTCCTGTTTATGTTCTTTACCTTCCTCTTCATCATTCATTAAAATGCCAAGAATAAAATCTCTTTGTAGGCTTAGTAGGTACAAAAGATATAAATATATGGTGTACCACCCAGTACCCTATACTGTATTTGTTATTGATCTTCTTGGTACAAATTATATACGCCTATGCTTGGGACTTGAACACAGATGAGCCCCACATACATATATTGTGTTTTATTTTATTTTTTATAGAAGTGATATTGGGTAGAAGGAATTCGAACACAGTACTTCCGGTGAAGAGAAAACTATTCTTGAACACTAAAGGCACAAATCCCTCACCACATCTTGTCTTGTGATAATATAAAATATAAAAAAAGTGCATTTTCATGGTCTTGCTTTTATGTGGGAAAGTCTCGAGATTGATTATAGAAGGCTTTGTAGGATGAATATCAGATAACTCAATTATTATGGGGTAACAAGATTGAAAGGGTACCGATCAAAGCCGTTGGCTAAATGGACTGATTAATTTAATATGTATCTAACAAAACAGAGAAGCTTTTACTCTTCGAAAATGCAATAAACATATGTGATGAGGACAAGGCAGAGCCAGAAAGATTCCAAACATCAAACCACGCTGCCATGCCATGATGCCACTATTGAATACAAGGATCGGAACCTGTACCCCATCTTTCCTCACTGCATTATATATCAAGCGAGCACAAAATGTTCGCAACAACCAACTAGCTAAGCAACCAGATGCAATCCCTCTTTCAAAACCTACTCATACTCTCAAACAAAAATGCTGTCTCTCTCTGGTAATATTTACTTCACTGATGATATGTGTTTCTGAACTTGCATATATAATGAAAAGCAAAAGAAGTATTAATGACCTGAAATCGTACGTGCATCCAAAAAGCCAATTGCTAGGTGCTTTCAGATTAACAATCTTAACACCACCATATATGTTTAAGGGGGAATCTTAGGCAGCAAGCAGTTGAGGTAATTACTACTACCACATTAATACATTCTAAACATTAATTAAGTAAAACATGAGCGAAGATTACAGAGCATCGTCACTAGCTATAAGAGGTACCTTTGGCCCAGATCCATGGCCAAATATTGACTTCATCAAGGCCATTAAAATTGATGGCAGCCTCGGTTGCCTCCACTAGTCACTCTGCTGAATCGAAAGCACAATGTTGAAGTAGGCGAGCCAGCATCCTCCTCCTCCTCAAAGTCTCCCATGGAGTCAAACGATGAGCTTGTGCTCGAAAACCGGCTCCACCTTCCATGGAACTTCCTTGTGCTCACTGGCACATGCATAGATGAATCTGATGGCGAAAAGAATGAAGAAGAAGGTGAGGAAGGTGAAGACGGAGAAGATGGTACATGGGTTTTCTTGAGACTTATTTTTGGGAAAATGGTGCGTAAAAGATTGGATCTTGAGTGCTTT